GGGGGGGCGTGTGCGCTTAAGGGGAGACACCTTTAAAAAAAAAAAAAAAAAAAAAAAAAACAACTCATGCCAGGCGTGTGTGCGTGTGCGTGCATCCTCAAAATCCTAAAGATGAGAATGAAGGAGAAGGGATTGCGGCATGGCCGTCCCCCATGGGGTGATTTCTCACTTTCTGTCTCTCTGTCTCACTGGCAAGCACATGCGCCCTGTAGCAAAATTCTCTTTAAGAAAAAAAAGTAACCATCAGGACAAGAGGTAGCATGGGGGTTAAGGCACTGGACTCCCAACTGTGGTTCAAGTCCTGGACCTGGTGGCTTGCTTTCTCACTTTCCCTCTCTCTCTCCATCTTTCTCTCTCTGGGGAGCACATGTACCCTCAAGTAAATTAAAATAATAATAATAAATAAAGTTAAATCATTCTTTTAAAAATATGAAAAAAAGAGAACAGAAAGTAACCACAGACTAAGGAATCAGAAAGGAGAGTTCTTCCCCTCACCGATATTTGTATTTAATTTAAGCTTTTGGACATCGGAGTGGCACAAGTTTGCAGAGTCAGTAAGGTAGGGATGGCAGCTCTGAGCAATACACAGCAAAGCTTCGGTGGAACAGCTCCTGCCATGACAAACATCCAGACAGAGGCCCAGCCCATGGTGAACTGCTTTGCATAACGAAACACGCGGCCTTGAAACTTACGGGAAGAGCAGGGATAAAAATCATCACGTAGGTTTGGGCGATCCTGAAATAAACGACAGAGCGGTCTTCAGTTCATGTTAAAAGAGCTGTCCGACATCCTGTCTGCAAACTGAACCCACAGAGGATCCAAAGATTAACACGAAAAATTATTTGCATGGGAGAAATTTAATAACGATGTTGAGCGATTGTTTTTCTGCCGCCCGCATCAATATTCCATTGGGCCTGCTACATGTCTGTTTTCCAAAGGGAAGACTGACACCTTTACATTGTCAAGCTCATTCTCAGCATAAAAAGTGGAATGACCACCACAAGATGAACTAAGACTTGGGCAAAACGCCTCTGGGAAGCATCGTGGTGAGCAAGACTGTCTTCCAGAAAGGGCCACCTACCCCAAGGATGGTACCGGAGAACACACTGGCATTGTAGGTTCAAAAAAACACACCCTCAACCCGGGGCCAGCAGGTGTTGTGGAGGTTAAAGCAGCTGGATCCCATATGGCCAAGTCTGCGCTTGATGTTCTGGGCACAGCAGCTTGAAAATCATACCGGGTGGGTGCGTGTGCGTGCGTGCCCAAAATCCCAAGAGGAGAATGGAGAAGGGACTGCAGCATGGCCACCCCCCCAAAGTGATGTTTTCTCACTTTCTCTCTTTCTCTCTCTCTCTGGTAAGTGCACCTGCCCTATAGCAAAACAGTAGAATACCCTCAACTCCAACAACAGTAGTGAAGACAATTGTGGTGCTACTCTGTTGGGTTGTTGGAAGAGTCATGATGCATTTTTACATAGAAAAAAACATCATGACTTTCCCGACAACCTAATACTTTTGTCAGGGGCAAAACACTGTATCTGCAAGACACCCAATCGGAACCCAAGATGGACGCTAAAGTGCCCCGGGGCCTGCACTCTGTCCCTCAGGGTGAGAGATCCCTGCAGCCCTCAAGTTCTTTGGCCAGGAACCAGCAGTTAGCATAATGGCTATGTCGCTGGACTCCCATGTAGTTGACCGCGGTTCGCATCCCAGACCCAGTGGCTTAAAACTCACGCTGGGCGCGTGTGCGTGCGTGCCCAAGATCCCAAAAGGAAAATGGAGGAGAAGGGATTGCGGCGTGGCCATCCCCCTGGGAGGGTGATTTCTCGCTTTCTATCTTTGTCTCTCTGGCGAGTGCACCACGTGCCCTATAGCAAAACCCTCTCAAAAAGAAAAAAAAGAAAGAAAGAAAGAAAAAGTTCCATGGCCAAAGTCACTACTTCCATTTCTGAAAGGGTTCAAGACTAGGTAATGGGCAGAAAACGACCATCCAGGTGCAATGGCCACTCGGGCACTTCCTCTGCACCTTGGACTCTGACCTGGAGACTTCGGGGTCCTGTTTTAACAGCAGGAGGATACACTCGGTGTTGACGAAGACGGCCCAGCAAGGAAAGCAAGCCAGCAGCAGAATGAGGATTCCTCTCTGAAGAATGATCCCCACGCGCTTCAGGTTCCTGCCTCCAAAGGACTGGTGGGAACAAACACAGAAATAAACAACGCCGCAGCGCACAGGGCAGACCCGGCCTCTCCCAGCGGACGCCCGCTGCCCCTGCAGCCAAGCAGCCCGTTTCCCACCACTGCCCCCCGCACCCTCCCTGCAGCTCCCACACCCCAGCCACAGGCTACAGGCCTGGGGGTCAGTCACAGCTGAGGACCTAGCTGGGCCTTGCGGCACTATACACACATCCCACTCCCGGGAACTGGGCCCGCTAACGCAGAGGGTATTGGCAGCGGGGACTGAAGCGCAAGAGTTTTGGACAAGGGGTGGAGATGGGAGCTACAGAAAAGCACGTGCCGTGGTGGAGGGCAAGGGTGTGGGGCCCCCAGAGGGCCAGGGCACCTGGGAGGGCACAGAGCAAAGCCCTCACCGTAGGCGGGGGAAGAGCACGTCGTCGGGAGGGCTGGTGATCGCAGAGGTGGGGTGGGGCTTCAGAAAGCCTCACGGCCGAGCGGGCCATGAGTGCCACATGCTCGCCTGGCAATGTCCACGTGAGCAGCCAGAAAGAGACAGGACCCGGGGTGGGCAGAATGGGAAAGGCGTGGAGGGAGGGTGGGCGTCAGCCTGAATGTGCAAGGAAGGCTTTCAGGAAGCTCGGCTTGAAGGAAGGAGACAGACAGGGGGAATGGCCTTAGGGAGGGGAGCAGGCGACAGCAGCAAGGGTGCGATGCCCTTGGGCAGTGAGACCCAGAGGGCAGATTGAGGAACGTGGCTAAACTGGAGTGTCCGTGGGCCACAGCGCTATTCGTAAGTGACAAGTGAAAGGACACAACCACCACAGGGTGGACGGTCCACTGGACTGTCTCTAATATGGAAGGTAACTGCTGAAAACAAACGGGGGGCCTAAAGCTGCGAGTCTCTGAGGAACCCGCCAGGGCAGATGGTGGTGTAGCAGTTATGGCACGGGACTCCCGCACGGTCAGCCGCAGGTCGAGGCCCAGACCCGGTGGCTTGAAATGCGTGCTGGGCATGTGTGCGTGCGTGCCCAAGATCCCGGGAGGAGAATGGAGGAGAAAGGATTACGGCATGCCCCGCCCCGCTGGGAGTGATTTCTCACTTTCCGTCTCTGTCTCTCTGGCAAGCGCACATGCCCAATAGCAAAAATCTCTCTCAAAAACAAGACAAAACAATAAAACAACCTTCAAATAGACACTTATTCTGCATTTCAGACCTCCGGGCTTGAACAGCTGGCCTCGTCTACTGTCAAACAAAATGTACCTTCTAGCTAAATGGCACAAA